TTGCAAACTGGAATTGAAGGAATTAGTACAACCTTTTGAGACGAAGGCGGCAAGTAAAATTTGATTTGGATATGTACTTATAACGTGTATGCAATTGATAATAAATTAATATGTCACTTTTAATTAATCGTTTTCTTATACTATGTTTTAGTAATTAATTTGTGTGGAAGGGGGCGTTCAATAAGTTTTGCCTAGGGCGCTAAATAACCTGGCGTCGGCATTGCGTTTATGGCATGGTGTTATCCCCCCCCCCCCCCTTGTAATCATTGTTGATTGTGTACTTAAAGACTATTTAAATAATTAATCCTTAATAGAACTGGCACAAAAAAGTTTTTTTTCTTCTGTACATTTTGCAATATTTTGCCATGGTGTCACCCCCTAAATGGTGTCACCCGGTGCGGTCCGCACCCCCCGCCCCGCCCTCGCTACGCCTCTGCTTGACAGTACGGAAATGTATTAGAAATATTTGAATATGGGCACGGCAAATGATGATTCAACAACATATTTTCACTACAGTTGTACACACATGTAAATAACATGCTTTAATTTAAACGCACCCCCTCTCTTGAGTTCAACCAGCTGTGATTCTTATCTAAGTTTGGAAAAGTAAAGGCGATCAGACGTAGTGCAGACTAGAATATCCGTTCATACGTCGTCTGTTCTGTAAATAGGTTAATCTTTCGAACCTTACGGTCCATGGTGCAGGTGGAGTAGAGCTGTTACTTCCCCTAACATAAGTCAAGTACCCATCACAGTTGGGTGGATTTAGTGACGTTTTTTGGGTCTCGAGTCAAGGTTTCGAACTCGAGACTTTTGGTTAGCAGTTTAACGCTCTACCATTCGACCACGCCATCTCTGACCATTGATCTAGCATTATTTTGGACATTCTATTAAACATTCAATGCGAGATATACTAGATGTACTTTTCCGTGTCGATAATTGTACGTAACTTTATTCCGTTTTTTTTTCGATGCCAATATCATTTAACGTTTTTAATATACGTATCCTAGGAGAAATACCTAGACACATGAAACCAATTTTAACAATAAATTTTTTTAAAAGATATATTTATCTAATTTCAATTTGTTTCGAAATTATTTTTATTTTAAAAATACTACAGTAACGGATTTAAAAATGATGGTTCTGTTTAATTAAAGAATTTAAAAAAAAAAATAACATTTTAGTGTTATAATTTGAAACCGCTACATCATTTGTATTGATTTCGGTCAAGATCTTCCAATGTCTTTTGGTGAATAAAATACGGTAGCTGTTATAGGCACCAATAGGGGAGACAACAAGTTGATACTTTGATAATGTGTGTGATTTTTAAAAAAAATTATAGTGATTATGAATGAGATATCAGTGAATGATGCTAGTGGTTGTGTGGGTCGCAAATGACCCACGCTATAGGGGTCCATGATGACCGCTACCATTTTTAATACTACACTCGATTTCAGGGGAAAAAAAATTCGTCACGCAAACCAATCACTATGGTTAATTAATTTAGTAATCTTCCGCCGTAATTAGTTTGTAATTGTGTTTTATAGCCGGTGCAGAAATTCAACTGCCGATGACCTTTTTTTTTCTCCTCGGGATTTATATCCACTGGAATACGAACCCGGGATTGCATCGACCTTGACCCTGGCCGCGCGACCTTCACACTGACCGCCATGTTAATCATGGCCGCGTCCACCCCAACATCTGCCAGATTTTTTATTTGCCGACGCTGGGATGCTCGTGGCGCGGGGATCGCCATAGTAATATGATCAAATCAGCGACCCCCCTGACCCCCACCCCTACCCCCATCCCCGTGTCGCCTTTATGTACAGGGACCAAATGAAGTCACGTGACGACCGTTGTTTTTTTTTTGTTATTCGCAGACACTAATATATCCCGGAGATGGACGGGGGAGAGGGGGAGGATGGTACCTTTGTTAAGGGAGTTGGTGTGCCGGCGTAGCTCATTTGAGAGGTGTAGGATCGATTACATCCTGGGCTGTGTGACGTCGTTGGTACGTCCGAGAACTTTTTAATTAACTCTTTATGTGCGAGAGACCAATACATCACAGGCACGGCTGGAGGAGTGAGGTCCCTTGTTATGTCGGAAATTTAAAAAAAAAATAACGTGGAAATTGTGAAATTTTGATAAGCATTAACTTCTTTAGATTTTCTGATTATTGTACATTTTAAATTAAACAAATTAAATTTCAAAATTTGTATCTTGAAATGATACATGAAATAATTTTTAAAATATTTTGTATGTTTAGCATACGTTAATATATTTGTATTTAAGGTTATAAAGTTAGCTTATGTGGCTGCATAGGGGTAGAGAGCCAACCCGCTAAACCCGAAAGTCTCGAGTTCGAATCAGGGTTCAAACCAGCAATACTGATGTTAGGGAAATAAGGGTGGCCGAGGGTTTTGAAAACAGATGAACTCTACTTCATCTTCTCCGTGTGTCTTGGGCACCAATGAGAAAAGATGAAGATGATAGTTAACTTATGTTGTTGACTAGATTGATTGTATAGCAACTCTTGACGCTTGGCTATACAGTGCTTCTTCCATACTCAGCCCCCCCCCCCCCGAAGAGATGCCTGGAAGAAAATCTGGGGCCATAATAAATTGAAGAAAATAACAATGACATAAGTAGTCTATACTGCAGGCGAAGTATATTTTTTGTTGATAATTTAAATAAAGTTTTTGTAGCTAGATGTGCACTAAAATACCATAAGAAATTTGATAAAAATGTATGTATCAAAAGACTACAACCTAAAAGCTCTAAATATTTTGATGATTAGCGCTAACTCGCAATCACTGCGACTTTACACAGCTAGAAAACATGTTCAAACACATTTTCTCTAAACTAATCTAAATATAATCTGTGCTGAAACCTAATCTAACCTAAATTAATTACCCGCATACCGTAAGCCAAATCCTAATCCATGTGTAGACTATGCTTGTCTTCTAGCATCTCCAATACGCATTCATCATCTATAACCAGTGTTTTTACTTAGACCTAACCCTCACGAATGAACGTCGTACTATCCCCCCCCCCCAATCCACACACACACGCACGGATACCACTCAATGCAAAAGTAAATTCTGTGTTCATAAAATAAAGCTATTTTTAGATACAACTAGCACTATGACCGCGCACAAGTCACCATGTTTTGATTGGTTCTAATGAACAATAAAAAAAGGGGCAGATAACTCCGTCCACACCGAATACACTGCAGTACCCCGGTACAGCGAGGGTTAAGCGGCTTTAAGAGGTTTTGGACCGTCATCGAACTGGGCAGCTTTGTTTCATTCAAGGCACCTTTTCATCTGGATGGAAATTGAGGACGGGCCTTTGTCCACTTGCCCGAGCTGACCAGCGCCCAGTCGAGTGGTCAGAGGAAACGGAATTAACTGGAAGCTTTAATCATCCGGTTTTTTTTTTCGAGTGGTCGAAAGGGTGGAAGCGACCTTAAATCACGCCATTTAGGGGTCAGGAAGGTGCAGCGGGTAGGGGATTCGGAATCCTTGCAGATGAAAACCCGATGCTATTTTTAGAAATTTGACCCGGGTTCTTTAGGGGTTCTTTATGTAGGGTGCGAGGTCCGCCCATGTATTTAGTAATTTAATTATGGAATTTTATTCTCTAAGCAAATGTTTGGGGGTAGGGTTTAGGGTACAAATGACGTCACCCTCCCCCCCCCCCCCACACACACCACCCAGCTACACACCACCCAGCTGTGCGTCGTCATTAGCCGATAGGATTAAGGTTAGTGCTGATGTTTTCGGTTAAGTTATCAGTGAAGTTATTGTGTACTGAGGTGATCGGCTAAAGGCAACTCATAAAGGAATAAAGTTACACTTTTTGACCTAGCGGTCAAAAGGTCAAATGCACTCATTGTTTCTGTGATCTTGACATATCAATGGATAGTGTGGTCAGTACTATGCCCAGCCGTCTTTACTTTTCCCAGCGTGAGTCGGGTACCTATGGGAGCTGGGTGGACTCAGTGACATCCTACAGACCACAGACCGAGATCCTAAGTCGAGCCTGTTTTTTTTGGGTGGGGGGTGGGGGGTGAGCAGTCGATTTTTCTACCCCCCCCCCCTCACCACTCCAACGAGTAAGACAGGGTAAACTGTAAAATTGTGTAATGGTATCCCACATTATGTTCTAACTTTAGTCGTATCCGGTCTAGACTAACCCTACCAAGCGTACCTCCAACTCTAACTATGACCCCAATACTAATCCTAAACTTAAAATTATTACATTGAAAGCTTAATTAAGATACATTACAGTCATGTCTGAAAATAAATCAGAAATTATAATTGTTAATTAGGAAGTGTCAATGAGTTATGCAATAATCTGATAGCGATATTGCCACGAGCACCTTGACACGCTCTAAAATACATGTCTATACAAATCTAGAATCTGCTTATAACATTATGTCATTTTTTAATAAAAAGTATCTTGAAATAAAAGTAAAACTCGATACATATGTTTTAATCGGTTTATTTTTATATTTACGGGAATTTCCGAATCAAAATCTAAGCCAAATTTACATACATGTAAATATGTAAATACATTATGTGGGTGGTTGTTGTTTTTTTTACAGGTGACTTGTGACAAGTGAATGGATGACTTTACCGTCCACATCAAACCCTCACTGGTCGACTGAGATTGAGTGTTAATTAATTAGTTTCAGCCTGAATTAATTAGCCCGATCCAATCGTGCGGTTCAGTTTTAATTTAGCTCCCTAGCCCGTTCCTCAATCGGTTTTGTTGGGAAGGGTGGGGGTGGGGGTGGGGGTGTAGTAGATTTGCATTCGTTGAGGGAACGTGAGGGGGACTGGGGGGGGGGAGGTAAGGTGCAATTCCATCAGCTGCAGACGGTATGTGACTGTCTGTGCATTATGGGGATGGGAAGGGGAGATACAGGTTTAAAGAAACAGATTGTATATATATATATATATATATATATTGTTACGACCACTTGGTGTTTAACCTGGGCTGACCCGTATGTTGGGGTAGCGATCTCACGCTCATCCATCAACCTGGCGGTGGTCAGAGGCTGACCAGTGCTGGCCGTGAGAACCTTTGGGCCGTGACGGCCACACCGGATTGGGTACCACGCTGTGGGCAATGCATACCTGGTGTCTTGGGGGACTCGGCTATTAACGTGGCCAACAGCCCATAAATTACCTGGTGACACCACGGGCTGACCGTTGATGCTTGATCTAGGCTAGTGACGGTCCGTGTTTTACGGCTGGGAAAACCTGCCAGATCGCACAGGGCCGAGATGGACGGTCATGTCCTGACCTGACCTGACCTGGGGGTCAGGCTCGATTAACAAGGTTCCCACACTAGCGAGGGACGACTTGAGTACTTTAGGAGGGTAGACCGGAGACTAGTGGGACACTCTCGACACAGACACTCTGGACACACACTCGGAGACGGACGGACGTCTCGGATAGCTAGGTTTAGAGGAGACATGGGTCGTCTCTGTGAGCTAGTGGAAAGCCACGACATGTACTAGACCTAGGCTAGGCTTGACAGTTAGGGACAAGTAGGGCAGTCGACTTAAGGACTTTAGTTGTTGTAGTTACGTGTGTATATTTCTGATAGTTGTACTTCGGTGGCGGGTTAATGTTAGATGTTGTACTTTGTGGCGAATAAATAGAGATTACTGAAGTTGGCTTTTATTTATTTTTATTTTTTCTTCTTCTTGTTTACGATCCCCTGACTAGTTCGAAAGGATTAGAGAAGGGGGTACGTAACAATTGGCGGCTAGAGTCCGGGATAGGACAGACAACGAGTTGAATAGTTTCTTTTGATGCCATGTTCAGTTGGGGGCTCACGAGCTAGTGTTTGATTTTAAGTTTTATGAGTAGTGAGAGTAAAGTTGTTCACGGAATCAGGAGAGTTTTCCAAACATTGAGTAAGTAGCGAGCTTATCACCTTTGTATTGACACTGAGTTTATTTTTCTTGATTTTTATGTTGGTCCAGTAGAGCTGGAATTTTATTTTGTTGATTCAGTATAGCTGGAGGGATTAATGCCCAGTATACTTGAATGTTTTTTGTTTGGTCCAGTGGAACTGGAGTGTTCGGGTTTATTCAGTACAGCTGGAGGGTCATTCCCAGGTACGTGAATAAATTCGTAATTTTTATTTGGTTTGCTCAGTATAGCTGGAGGGTCAATTCCCAGTATACGTGAGTGAATCGTTTGTGATCCAGTGTAGCTGGATATCTTAGTTTGGTTGGCCCAGTATAGCTGGTGTCTACCTGTTTCAAGTGTCAAAGGTGATAGCCCTACTTTTAATGTTTAAGTTAAAGTGTTTGTTGTAAGCCACATTTTAGTAATTAACCGCCACCATTTAGCTGGATAAGTTCCGTAAGTGTGAATCATGGACGTAATGAGTTTTATGGAGTGTCCAACTCTAGAAGTTTTAGACAGGTTTTGTCGCGTAGAGTTGTTGCGTCTAGTTGAGGAGCTAGGACTAGAGGTTGATGTCTCGGATAGAGATAGAGTTCTACGAGATCATATTTGTGTTGAGTTAGTAAATACAGGTAGATTAGAGGAGGAGTGTCTAGACTCGATAGAATATTATGAGATAGGACGAATTAGGGTTGAAGAAATTGAGAGAGAGTTTCAAGTTAAGATGTTAGAGATCGCGAGAGAAAAAGAGGATAAGTTGTTAGAGATCAGGAGGGATATATTCACGTCAGAATCTTGGAAGGAAATTGACATTAAAAGTTTAGAGAAACTGTTCGGACATGAAGTGAAACTATTAGAGATCAGGAGGGAACGGGATTTACTTAGGCTATGGGAGGAGGCGCATCTTAGTGGATTGTTTGACTTTCCAGAATCTGTCTCTGTTTTCTCTCAGGCCAGTGTAGTAGTTTCCGAGGATCGGTATAGAAATGAAGATAGTTCGTTGTCTGATAGAGTTGGTAGCGAGTTTTGTCAGTCTCAGACTAAGGCTGCCACTAGCTTTGGCTCAGTCCCTGAAGTCGACTCTAACCTAGCACAACCAGCACAAACGTCAAAACGTGCTGATAGCTTACGAGTTGAAAGTTTTCTGCCGACAAGTACTGAAGGCAGTCAGCAAGTTATTGGTTTAGATAAAATCACGGCGACCACTCTAATGTTGACCAGTCATGAAAAGGGGCTGTCAATATCTGACCCAGTGGATACAACCACCGATGATATAACGGCAACCACTCTGATGTTGACCAGTCATGAAAAGGGGCAGTCAATATCAGAACCAGTGGTTACAACCACCGCTGAAATCACGGTAACCACCGAGAGAGTGAATACCCATGAGAACAGGCTGTCCTCGTCTGAACCTGAACCAGTAACTGCATCTGATCAAGACCTTACTACTTGTCATCTTGATGGCGTCATGACCTTATCTGGAGGTCATGTGAATGGTGACCTACACCTTCAGTTAGACGAGTCAACGAATCTTCTGCCAGCCTCGGTAACAGACGAAATTGTTACCCATTGTCTTGGAGGTGAGCCTAACACGGGCTGTCCTCCCATTATCACAGCAGTGTTTAATTTCTCCCCGACCAAGTCCAGCAACCCAGAGGCCATGACCTCACCTGGAGGTCACGTGGATGGTGTTCTACATCCAGAGATAGACGAGTCAACGAATCTTTTGCCAGCATCAGTAACGAACAAAATCGTTACCCTTTGTCTTGGAGGTGAGCCTAACACGGGCTGTCCTCCCATGATCCCAGCAGTATTTGATTTCTCCCCGACCAAGTCCAGCAACCTGGAGGCCATGACCTCACCTGGAGGTCACGTGGATGGTGTTCTACATCCAGAGATCGAAGAGTCGGTGAATCTTTTGTCAGCGGTGACGAGCAAAGTCGTTACCTTTTGTTTAGGAAATGAGCCTAACTCAGGCTTCCCTCCCCTTATCTCGGAGGTGATTTATTGTTCTCTGACCGACCCGGTCAAGACCAGCAACCTGGAGGCCATGACCTCACCTGGAGGTCACGCGGATGGTGTTCTACATCCCGAGTTTGAGGAGACGACGAATCTTTTGTCAACGTCGGTGACAAGCGTAGTTGTTACCTCTTGTTTAGGAGTTGAGCCTAACTCAGGCTTCCCTCCCCTTATCACGGAGGTGATTTATTGTTCTCTGACCGACCCGGTCAAAACCAACAACCCGGAGACGGTGACCTCAGCGGGTCACGCTACTTCTCTCAACCGAGGGTGCGTACAAGCGAGCGCACACCCCATTGCTTTCACGGAGACGGGGCGTGTACTCGTTCCCTCTTTGTGTGACACGGTGTTCAGGATTAACATCGTGTCAAAACATGGCTACATTAGTGCAAGCAGTCCTGTGAAACCACGCCTTATGTGCGAGTCGATATTGGTGTGGACGGACAATAACTCTGTTACTAAATTTGTGCTGCGCCGTTATAAAGTTCGGCTAAAGTTTTTTATGTTTACGGACTCATGATGACCCGAAAGACGGAAAACTAATTTGTGTTTCAAACCTATTAGAACTGTTTCCAAGATAGACTGTTTCATGTTTTCCCAGGATGCAAGTGTTCTAATCAAAATGAACTGTTTTCAGGCTTAAAGAATGTACCTTTTACATGTCTTGTAAAAAAAAAAAAAAATGTGTTATTGATGTTTTACATGATGATGAATTCGTGACAGTTTTTAATTGTATTGACAGGTTTTGTTGACTGATGACGTAACTATCAGTAAAACGAAGACTGTTGGTTTTCAATCTTAGCATTATTTGCGACAGTGACACATGTGTTGCAGATTTGCTGTTTTATTTACTTTGATGTCTATGTTTGATGACATTGTGTTTGGGGTATTTAGTCAAACTTGTTATTGTGACTAAATCATCCACGTTTCTTATCTTTTTAGTAATGATTATGTTAAATGGATTTAGTCCCATTTAGGTTTATTCTGGGACTTTTGAGGAATTGTGAGATTGGTATGGTTGTCTAGTAAGAGAGGTTCAATTAATTCACCATGTGGTGGCGAATTAATTTCTTGAAGGGTGGGGGTGTTACGACCACTTGGTGTTTAACCTGGGCTGACCCGTATGTTGGGGTAGCGATCTCACGCTCATCCATCAACCTGGCGGTGGTCAGAGGCTGACCAGTGCTGGCCGTGAGAACCTTTGGGCCGTGACGGCCACACCGGATTGGGTACCACGCTGTGGGCAATGCATACCTGGTGTCTTGGGGGACTCGGCTATTAACGTGGCCAACAGCCCATAAATTACCTGGTGACACCACGGGCTGACCGTTGATGCTTGATCTAGGCTAGTGACGGTCCGTGTTTTACGGCTGGGAAAACCTGCCAGATCGCACAGGGCCGAGATGGACGGTCATGTCCTGACCTGACCTGACCTGGGGGTCAGGCTCGATTAACAAGGTTCCCACACTAGCGAGGGACGACTTGAGTACTTTAGGAGGGTAGACCGGAGACTAGTGGGACACTCTCGACACAGACACTCTGGACACACACTCGGAGACGGACGGACGTCTCGGATAGCTAGGTTTAGAGGAGACATGGGTCGTCTCTGTGAGCTAGTGGAAAGCCACGACATGTACTAGACCTAGGCTAGGCTTGACAGTTAGGGACAAGTAGGGCAGTCGACTTAAGGACTTTAGTTGTTGTAGTTACGTGTGTATATTTCTGATAGTTGTACTTCGGTGGCGGGTTAATGTTAGATGTTGTACTTTGTGGCGAATAAATAGAGATTACTGAAGTTGGCTTTTATTTATTTTTATTTTTTCTTCTTCTTGTTTACGATCCCCTGACTAGTTCGAAAGGATTAGAGAAGGGGGTACGTAACAATATATATATATATATATATATATATATATATATATATATATATATATATATATATATATATATATATAATTGTCTATGTATGTATATGAGTTGAACATTTCTTAGAATCTTTGTCAGCTGATCTTGCACTTGAGTACACGACTGTGTGTGTAAATATTTAACTCGCGTGTAAATTATTTACACGCGTCTTGTCACGTGTTGCATGCTGCATGTGTCAACGTTACGTCACGGACGTCATCATTGATTTACTGGTTGCCTGGCCCGTATGAACCAGGTGAGGCTACGGTCACAGGGACTTTGGTCACGTGGGTTGTTAGACAGTTAGATAACAGTTCTAGAGATATTTTCGTCCATTCTATCGATTGGTTGTAGGTATATATGTCTGTCTTGCGGGTTAGATCGCAGTAAAGTTTTATTAAATTACCCTAATGCTAATTTTAAAGAAGTCAGTTTACTAAATGTAAACCTCATTAGGATGGTGTGGTTGGACGGTAGAGCGAATGATTGCTAACCCGAAAGTCTCGAGTTCGGATCCCGGGCTTGAGTCAGTAGGAAGTCCCTGTGTCCACCCATTTTTGGTGACCATTTATTTGCTTCAAGGAAAGACATGGTGGCTGGGCATAAAACTGATCACACTAGTCGCTTAAATACGGAGATCACAAATAGACGTGACCCATGTTTATCTACATTCTAGATACTGGGGAACTCTACTCATTATAAAGGTGACAAGATCACGTAGCCCTAAACCAACCAAAAATACCAGAAACATCAAAATATTTTGTGGCCAAATTGTTTTAAAATGACAACAGTGCGTGAAAATAGTCGTATAAATAAAATAAATGGAATGTCACAATAAGACAAATATGTCGAGAAATTCAGGATTACATAATTTACATTTAATGTACCAAACATGGTCAGACTTTTATTAGATTTTGACGTGACCTCGCTTATGTAAAAATCTTTACCAAATCGAGCCAAACTTGGGTCTCTTTAAATGTAAACACCAATATTAAAAAAAATCTGCCCAGTCGTCACCCCCCCCCCCCCCCTTTCCCCTCCTTCTAGTTTCCATCGCTCGACATTTCTAAAAATAAGAAGAAAATTTGGCTTGCGCGTGGCAAATAAATTCGTGACAACTTGTCAACGAGCCAGTGTGTGTGAGTATTTGTGTTAGAACTTCGTCGTTTCTCCGCAGTCCCCCCCCCCCCCGCCCCACTTTTCTATTATTTTTGTTCACGAGTTTTCCAAATTTAGACTTCAATTCAATACTTCCAAAATTGTGATGTTCGGCGTGGTTCGAAATATTTTTTTTTTTAATATTTTTTTTTTTAAATTTGAATTTGTATAGTTAAAAGAAAAAGATGGAATAAAATGCACTCGTTTGTGAAAGATGCACTCGCAGTCCCGCCCGTGAGCGGGTTTAGCAGGCGACTGTAGTGGGGCAAGCGCTCACGACGGAAAGACCCTGTTGCCGGTGGGATGCGAGAGCGGTGCGCGGACCGCCGAGACGTACTCGGCGAGCGGTAGCAGGAACTCCTCGCTGGCAATTGTACGCAGGATCAGTCAGGGTGTTGGGCGAACGTCTGTGTAGGCCCGGGAAGTTTTTATTCTAGGCGAGTCTCGGAGTAACTGGCACTACAGTGGATTTTTTATTTTCTCTTTGGTTTTGATTCTGTGGATTGTGGATATCTAATTTTCTCTATCAAAGGTATTTTCTGACGTTGGCGTGTTGTTCTTTTGACGTGATAACCCGGATTAGATTAGTTTTGTGCAGGAATAATATTGACATCGGCTGGATGGAAATTTGAGATCGCGTGGAGTTTTTTGTGTTTATAGATATATAGTTAGAAATATATTAGATGTAGTCTAGATCTATATTAGAATATTAAATATAATAATAATATATACGTTCACTTACAATGTAGATAAAAAAAATACATTTAATCATAAACTACGAACTATGTTTTTTATATCGGCCATTATGATTTTAGTCAAAACTGTAGCATGTATTATTTACTTATTGTGTTAGTGTAGTTTATACCTCCAAAAAATAAAAACGAATAGTTTTATAAAATTATTTTAGTGGTAATGGTATTTACTTAATTTAATCGTAATGACCAAAATGCGAAATATCCTATGTCAAATTTTGACTTTTATTTTCGTGTGAGTTAGAAACAGTCGTATCGAAGATAAACTTTTGGAGAATCAGTTTTAACACTGCTGCTATTGTTATAGATAATGATATAAATACTTTAATGTTTTCGAACTTATAAAAATAACTTCTGAGGATACTAAAATAAAACTAGATTTTTTTTTTTTTTAATTTTTATAATTTGCCGAAACGTTGATTAATGTTTTGTAGTTTTAAAAAAACGAACTTTGTCATTTTTCTGTTTTGATGGAGGCTATAGTTCTATTTATAGCTCTATTGTTGTAGGTTCTACCTCGGGTTGTCATAAGTAATAGATAGCTTCACGTGCTATTTCTGTCTACCTAGAGTTACTGAACCTTCTGTCAGCCCCCCCCCCCCCCAGCTTCCCACCCCTCGGTAGTTGGGTCTGAAAAATGACAGCACAAAAACTGATCGTCTGTCTACCAATCAGTCGGGTTGGGTAACATCAGAAGACCGGTGCGTGTGGTCGTCGGCGTGGGTAGATTTCCCGCTCTGTTGCGTGTAGGTCTGACTTGTTGAGCGTGGTTTGTGCGTGATGACTATTTGAGCCAGCTGTATGCGTGTAATATTTTAGCGTCGTGCGTGGGAGTATCATGATGTGTGCTTGTAATGACATTTTGATTGTGTTGTGTGTGTAATGACTTGTTGAGTGTGTGTGTAATGACTTGCTGGGTGTGTGTGATATCTTGTTGAGTGTGTTGTGTAATGACTTGTTGAATGTGTGTGTAATGACTTGTTGAGTGTGTGTGTAATGACTTGTTGGGTGTGTGTGTAATGACTTGTTGAATGTGTGTGTAATGACTTGTTGAGTGTGTGTGTAGTGACTTGTTTGGTGTGTGTGTAATGACTTGTTGTGTGTGTGTGTAATGACTTGTTGGGTGTGTGTGTAGTGACTTGTTGGGTGTGTGTGTAATGACTTGTTGGGTGTGTGTGTAATGACTTGTTGGGTGTGTGTGTAATGACTTGTTGGGTGTGTGTGTGTGTGTAATGACTTGTTGGTGTGTGTAATGACTTGGGTGTGTTTTGTGTTATGATTTATTGACCGTGTTGTGCTCATGTCATAACTTATTGACCGTGTGGCCCAAGCCTCTCTACGTACACACTCGTCCTTTCATCAAAAATATTTGCATCGTTTTTCTTATCATTTCCGTTCTCAGCCCCTTGGCAAAAAATCGTATTTTAATGACGGGAAGGGGTGGGCGCGGGAGTGTCCATGAAACCAGGGAATTTTCAAAACTAAACTTAGGATTAATATTAAAGTCAATGAGGTGGATTAAGTCATGCTATGTGGATAGGGTTAGGTTTAAGTTATAATTAGATTGATGGAAATATTTTCGGTATGTCGTTTTCGGATAGCTTATAAGTACGCGTTTTAGTGAGTGTTCTAAATGTAAGTTTTTAAGTTAGCCAAAAATTGTAATACTTACATGTATCCTTCATGTAGTAGTAGTTAGATTATTTATTTAAAAAACAATAACATAGAGGTATTTGCTTTCGTGTGTTATATTTTTTCAATACCAGTATGTGAGTCCATGCCATATGTATACATTACAATTAGAAGATAGCGGCCCGACATTTTTATTTTATCATCTCTGACAAACTCCCCCCCCCCCCCCCCCCGTACCAGTCTGTTCCTCCCCCCATGCGCCGCTACCCTCCAACACGGCGTAGTTGCCTCCCTTTGCAGATAAATCTAGCCCTTGTCAGAAAACAATCTGATTTTTGTCCTTTTTTTTTTTACTTCTCTTGTTCATAGTGGGACTAACACAAAAGGGGATACAACCCTGTGCGATACATTTCTCAACAATGCTCAGTTCGTGAAGATTTCATCTGGATTAATAGATCCCCCGTTTATGGTTCGGGATCCATTTTGTTACTGTGGCACCGAGACAGATTTATACTCGTCTGAGGATATAAATATTTATAATTGGAGTGATTTTTTTTTATTTCCTTGAGCTGGATTTGGATGTGTGACCTGGTTTTAAGTGAGTGGATTAATTGGATTATCAGCAGAATTGTGGAGATTTATACTTTAATTCCAGCGGTTTGAACTAAAGAAAGTTGTGGTTTTTTAAAATTCCAAGGATAGTTTCAGTATAAAGGTAAGTGTTGATACGATTTTTGTACTTTTACTTTCGTTTTATTGAAATATCGCCACGCGTATTCGGATCGATGGTATCGTGAATTGTACTTTAGGTTTAAGGAATCGTGTAATGTTGTAGGCGATATCGTAGATTCCAATACGACGTTTGCGGTGATTTAGAATAATAATTTTTTTTTTACTTCCCTTGACTTAATGTATGTTGTTTGGTTTTCGTTGGTTTTGATGTGTGAGTTAGGGCTAAGATCATTTTAGTGTAAGTTTCGTTTTTACAACGAACATTTTATTGTGATATCACCATCACACCATTTCGTACACCATGGTGTCTGATGTTACATAACTTTATCTCTTACACCATTTTGTCTGATACCATCATAACCATAACACTAACGTCCTTCTACTCTCCCATATGACCTTCACCCTGGCCCCACCACCCCCACGCCCAATCGATACCACTTAAAACATCAATACACTTGCTGACAAGTCAAGGACCCTCGTGTGGCTTTATAAGGGAAAAGTAGCCCATCTTTCATGAGATGAGCTCAAAAATTATGACCCTCGCGGTCTCGTGTGTGTCCTAATATGTTGTGTGCTAGGTCTATCCTGTCTGTGATGTTGTGTGCTTGGTCTATCCTGTCTGTGATGTTGTGTGCTTGGTCTATCCTGTCTATGATGTTGTGTGCTTGGTCT